ATTCACTCCAATCTTATCGAAATCCACTACAAGCTTACCAAAATTCACTAGAAATTTAATGTAATCATCTAAAACGTTTGAAAAACAAAAATTCTCGAGCTACAATTACCGTAATCCAAAGGTCTGTAACAGGGAGTTACAAGGACAAACACACAAAAAGGTGAGAAAAAATATACCACTTGAACCCATATGCAATATCTACATATATGTGCTTATTTAGGCTTCCAACGGAAGCAGAGAGATACAAATCTTCAAAGACAATTGATCAAAACATCGCTATTATAAAACAAAGTGGGAGAAAACAAAGCATTTCCAAAAAAAACATTGAATCAAAGAAAAAACAATACTATTAGAGAAGATCGCATGGAAACCCATAAATTAAAACATGGGTTTGTTGAGAACTTTATTTTTTTCAAAAAAAAAAATGAAACAATTCAAAATAATCAAGAAAATAGAGCACATGTGTCAAAAATAGGGAACCTATTACCAGGGTGTCGAATAAAACACACCAAACATATTCAACAATGATCTTTTTAATAAACCCTTAATTTGCCCAGTTCTTATATGTTATATTTCTATTATTTTAATACATGCGAGAACAAGTCGGGGTTTTTTCTTTCTTTCATTCCATTTTCTCAATTTACGTCAATTTCAATCCGAAAATTTCGAAGTTTTTAACTATATTTTCAAAATGAATCAAATTTTATGATTCTTTTTACGATGTTTGATCCGTTGATCCTCATTTTATGTGCCTAAAGCCCAGGCGCAATATTGTTGGTCAGGCCCATGCAAACAATTGTGAGCTAGAAGACCATGGATACTCAACAAGTTAATGAAAGGATAAACCCTCGCGAGCAAAAGAGTGGTGGACTATTTTTGCGTGGAGGAGAGGAAGCTTTGATCGCAATTTTTGTCGTTGCTGAATAGAAAAGGCGTTTGAGATTGAATTTGGATCTCATGTACTAGTGTACAAATTAATTCTGATATCATCTAGTTATTGCATGATAAACTTTTGAACACTAATATGTAAATCTTCGTAAGAATCAAAATATAACTTCTTTATCAAGAAAACTAGAGCAACCCCGTTAATATTGTGGACGTTATTGTTGGAGGTGAAATTGCGTAAAATTGTAAGTGTGGGTTCTTTTATCCGGCGAGGTCAATTTCAGGCCTATTGGGGTCGTGTTGATGGCGGCGGTGGCGGCGAAAAGTTTCAATGCGGGGCGAAATCGGAGCAGACAATCTTTGAATATTGTTCGAATTTTTGTGGGCACTGATTTGTTTGATTTGTTTGGTTGAATGAGAAAATATGATTCTGATGATGCTATAAATAGATCATCTTAAATAAATGAGGTAGGATGACCTGGAAGAGCAGAGTGGATCACTAGCTCACGAGCTTGATAACCTTGAGATACATGCGATCATAGAACACGTAAACTAAGCCAGGGGTTGATCCGGGGAAACCCCTCCGACACTCAAGTAAGACGTGCGGATAGTGGAAATAGTCCAGAGAATACAAATTGTATTATTGCTCAGATAATATGACGTACGTTTAATAAATTAATTATATCGTTATTTACACCTTAGTTGAGATTGTTGGGCCCAAACCTTATTTGAAGGTGATTTGGCCTCGGTAATAGTGGTCTTCAATATTGAGCTCGTGACCCAGTAGGTAAATAAATTGTAAGCCCACTGGGTTGGCCCAACCAGGCATATCATTAAGCCCCCCACTCTCGAGTCGATGTGGGGGCCATGTTGAAATGGGTGACATATCGTGTTGAGAGTAAAAATTGTAGTAGTCGCTCGTTGGCGTATGGCCTGATGGTGTGCGAAAACCCGTTGGAGTGTGTGTCGGAGGGGCTTAAATGTGCGTTGGCGCGTAGCGCGATCAAGTTGTCGCGATATAAGTTACTTGAGTCATCGGTGTTGTCCCGCGACGATAGCGCGGGTCGAGTTATCTCCTCATGGGAGTTGTTACTTATTGAAGCTGTCAGTGGTTTGATGCGTTGCTTGTATGTGTTTACATATAGCCTTGTGCGTGATGTACTTGATGAGTGGATCAGGCTCTCAAGATTTTTTAATGGGGATCGTGCCCCTTGTTAGACCTCGTGGGTCGTAAGTATGTTTAGACCGTGGCCATGTTTTAACAAAGGATCGGTCGATAACAAGTAGAGAAATTTGAGTAATCAAGCTGGCCAAGCTATATAGATTCGCATAATATCTCTAAGTGTTTCTAAGGTTGTAATCGTGCTAACTTGAGCTTGCGATTGTGTAGTGAATTGCGAGCGAGCTGTCTTCTCAAGAGAGTTGTCTCGCATTGAAGTTGTAGGAGCGTTGGATGGCGCAAGACTGAGGAGTGTGCAGATTGAGGTCGCTCTGAGCGAGTTGTCTCCTCGTTGTAGTTGTCTCGCAACAAGTCTTATTATCGAGAGAGGTGGCTCCTCGTGGGAGTTGCCTTGCAACGGGTTGCAAGACCGAGTGAGTTGGCTCCTCGTGGGAGTTGTCTCGTTGCGGGTTGTAGTACCGAGGGAGTTGGCTCCTTGTGGGAGTTGCCTCGCAACGGGTTGTAGGACCGAGAGAGTTGTCTCCTCGTGGGAGTTGTCTCGCTGCGGATTTGTAGTACCGAGGGAGTTGGCTCATCGTGGGAGTTATCTCGCAACGGGTTGTAGGACCGAGCGAGTTGTCTCCTCGTGGGAGTTGTGTCGCTGCGGGTTTGTAGTACCGAGGGAGTTGGCTCCTCGTGGGAGTTGCCTCGCAACGGGTTGTAGGGCCGAGCGAGTTGGCTCCTCGTGGGAGTTGTCTCGCTGCAGATTCATAGTACCGAGGGAGTTGGTTCCTCGTGGGAGTTGTCTCGCAACGGGTTGTAGGACTGAGCGAGTTGGCTCCTCGTGGAAGTTGTCTCGCAAGCCCCCTCACTCTTGATTCGACGTGGGAGCCAAGTTGAAAAGGGTACCTCATCGTGTCGAGAGTAGATCAGTGTTGTAGTGTTCTGTTAATTGTTGGCGTGGCGTAGGTAAATAATAATTTTTATTTATCCGTTTGAGATAGCGCGCGATTTGGTGAGGCGCGTAAAAATCGGGGCGCGATTGGGTGGAGCGCGTTGAAATTCGCGCGCGATTAGAAAGCCTTGGAAGTTGCGCGAATTGCCATGTGAGAGGAGTCGTGCGAATTAAGAAGCCGCGAATTTCCATGTGAGAAGAGCCACGCGAATTAGAGCCGCGCGGCTTGAAGCCGCCCGAATGTTGTGTGAGGAGGAGTCGGCACGGATGTGAGAGAGAGGAGCTGCCTTGGAAGACGAACGGGGCGCGTGCAGTGAAGAGAGAGACCGTGCGCGTGCTCTGCACGCGCGGAGAGAGGTAATGTGAGGCGCGTGCAAAGCACGCACGGAGAGAGGTGTTATCGTTGCAATGCAAGCGTGTGAGTCTCACACGCGAGTTGGCGCGTGGCCACCACGCGCTCTCTTACACTGGCGCGCGTTTTTTCCTTTTTTTTCTTTTTTTTGCTGCGCGTTCGCGCGGAACGAGGAGCACGTTTTGGGCAACCGCGCGTGCTGTGCGTGCATTTTTTTTTTTTTTTTTTTTTTTCGTAGTGGGATTTCCAACCCTTAGGAGATGTCTTATTTTTTGAGTGGAGCTGCAAGGGGATTTATCTGGACTTCATGAGGTGGATCCTGATTACGAGGAGGAAGTGGCCAGCCAGAGCCTCCGCGAGGTGGGAGGTTGTTAGCATTGGCACGTTCTCTCCGAATAGAAGACTCAGTGACATCATGCGCGTTACGTGATATTGTATGCCTTCTCACAGACGACGCCATTATGATGATGCTATAAATAGAGCATTCTAAATAAATGAGGTAGGATGAGGTGAAAGAGCGGAGTAGATCACTGGCTCACGAGCTTGATGATCTTGAGATACCTGCGATCATAGAACACGTGAACTAAGATGGGGGTTGATCTGGTGGAAACTCCTCCGACGCTCAAGTCAGACGTGCGGATAGTGGAAATAGTCCAGAGAATAGAAATTATAGTATTGCTCAGATAATAGGACGTACCTTTAATAAATGAATTATATCGTTATTTATACCTTAGTTGAGATTGTTGGGCTCAAACCTTATTTGAAGGTGATTGGGCCTCGGTAAAAGTGGTCTTCAATATTGGGCTCGTGGCCCAATATGTAAATAAATTGTAAGCCCATTAGGTTGACCCATTTAGGCATATCCGATTCTTTTAAGGATTGTTAGGGGGTGTGTGAAAGAAAATATTTTGAGACGAGTAAAAAAGAAAAAAGGAAAAAGGAATATAAAATTAATAATAAAAAAAGCAAAAATAAATAAATAAATAAGCAAAAATGAATAAATATTTATATGTATTTAAAAAGTTTTTGGTGAAACACATTTTAATGGATACTAACACTTTTATAAGTAGAAAAGAAGGGTTGTTGTAATTATAATATAAAGTGAGAGGCATTCCAAACTTTCAGAACAAATAGAGAGTTATCTGTAAATGAAACTTAAAAGGGAGGAGTGCAATGTCCAAACTATATTACTGAAGACTGAATCATATGTGAAACTATGAAATGTAAATTTTGGAGGAAAAACCCTAGTGAATACGCACATCTTTGTAAAATGTAAATTCAAATAATCAAATTGTACCCACTGTTTTTCGTCAAATATTAATATATAATAGTCCAATTGAAAAGTACATAACTGAGTGCATGTAACTTCATGTGTTGATTCTTCCATCAAATTAGAACAATTTTTAATATCCTTATCTTGTAATTGCAATGGGATTTCATGTTTGATAATTGCTACGCATATATATATGCATCACCAATATTTGTGCTGCTTTGTGGACATGTTTGATACCTTGGTTTTCTTGTAGAGAGAGACGACAAACCAGAATCAAGCAAAGGATAACTCTTTTTATAAGCTGTCTGTCATGGGAACTAATTATTAATTATGCCTTTTCGTTTTCGTCTTTAGAAATAAAAGCTCGATCAACATCTTCGTTTTTCACAAACACCTACAATATCCATCTCTAATCTCTTTCACTTATTATTAATTCCTTCATCAATGGCAGCAGATCTTTCGTTCCCTGAACAAGATGGTTCGTCGTATTACTTTTGATGAACAATTAGTAATTATCTACATTTTCTGCTTTCTGTTTCATTCTTGATTTACGTTTTACGTCTTCTCACTTTTAATAGGTGCAGTCTCAAGATCAATTTCAGATGCACCACCTGCACATTGTATAATCAAAATTCAGTTATTTTCACAACTCGCAAAGAACAATATAGAGAGCTACAGTTCAAGTGATTTCGAAGCTGGAGGCTACAAATGGTAACGATTTCGATCTATAGAAATTAGTTTGTCATTATATTAACAGTTATATAATTTGTTGTCATCATTAAATTCTTTTTCATTTCCATTATATTGAATTAGTGGTACAACTATACAGTGACAATATTTTTTGGCTAAATATGTTGTAAGATATTTTCTTCTAGTACTGTCCTTTTTCATGTTTGGTGCGGTGCTTTAATTTCTCAAAGAAGGAGTTTAAGAATGTAATTTCCTTATTTTTGATTGCAGGAAATTGGTTGTTCACCCAAATGGATATAAAAACAAAGGCATTACAGATCATATCTCCCTATACTTGGTTCTCGCCGAATCAAATTCACTCAATCCCGGTTGGGAGATTCGAGCATCTTTCCGTCTTTTTCTGCTTGATCAGAACAAAGACAATTACATAACCCTCAAAGGTAAACTACGCATCATTCCATTACATTCCCAATAAAATATTCAACAATTTTATATGTTTTTCTTAGACACAACAGAACACGGGAGACGATTCCATGGAATGAAACTCGAATGGGGATTCAATAAGTTCGTCCCTCTCGCTGCCTTCATGGATCCTTCTAATGGATATCTGGTCAACGACAATTGCGTATTTGGAGCGGAGGTTTACGTTTGTCGAGAAAAACTCTCAGGAAAAGGAGAATGTTTATCAATGATAAAGGATCCAATCACCTATAAAAGCACTTGGAGAATTGACAATTTCTCCGACATAACTCAAGAAACTGCATATTCCAAACCATTCAGTTCTGCTGATAAAAAATGGTAAAAAAATCTTAATTAATATTTTCTTGATCATTTGTTACACAAACCTTTAATTTGAGAAAAAAAAAAAGAATACGTGCATGCATGCGTTAAAATCGCAGGAAGATACAACTCTATCCTAAAGGAACAGGCAGCGGCAATGAAAGCCACGTATCTTTGTATCTGACATTAGACGAAGCGGAAAAACTGCCCCCAACAGCTAAAATATATGCGGAATTTACCTTACGCATATTAGACCAACTTAACCGCAACCACGCTTCTGGAACTTGTAATATACTCAATCCTAATTATACCAATGTGTATATATTGAGCAATTATGATTCTTTTCATAAATTAATTTAAGCTTTTTATATTTTTCTGCTACAGCTAAACATTGGTTCAGTGCATTAAACCCGACAAGCGGTTGGGCGAGATTCAGTTCCCAAGGTTATTTTAAATCGTCTGCAGCAGGTTTGCTTGTGAAGAACATATGCGTCATAGAAGCAGAAGTCAAGGTTCATGGGGTGGCTGTTGCTTTATGATCCTACTCATAACAGCTAACTATAATTTATGAAATGATGATTCTGTTTAATGCATGAAAAAGCACTCTCTATATTACACACGTACGTGGTTTGGCAAAACAATAATGTAACGGAACTCCCTTGCGGAATGGGCTTATCATCATTTATCCATCCTGCAGAGTCTTTCATACTCTAAAATCTATTCCTTCATGTGTTATTTAATTACAAAAATAGACTAGATACATTTGGTACGTGGTACTATATATATATAGACCGTACCGGGAGCTAGCTTACTGGCGTTGTTTTAGCTCGCAAAAATATGTATATACAATAATATAATCAAGAAGAATTACGTTTGGTCCTCGTCTTTGAATTCGAAGAAGCATAATTGATCTCTTCCATCTTCGGATTTCATCACTATATATACTGCACAGCTGGTAATATGCAACATCATGCTCTGTGTTACCATGTTATGACGGAGGTCCATCTTTACTTTTTACCATCCCTCTAAAGTTGAAACTTTGATCATGCTTCTATCTATCTATCTATCTATATTCTATAATTATAAAGTATGGATGGGTTGATATATTGTTTCTTCCCTTTCTTTTAGGTATAAATTTACCCCCACTTAATTAACATAATTTAGACATTTAATCTTAGGACAATTTAGTAATTTGCTTACGTATATCTTATATATAAAAATAATGTGCAAATGGTAAATATGCCCATGGTAAGGGACTTTAATGCACATAGGTCACTACAAAAAACAGTCATGCAAATAAACCCATACCCATGTATTTTGTCTAAAATACCCTCCATAATATAATTTTCATCAATTCCATTCATTATGCTCTAATTGTACATTGACGTCTGATTTAAACAAATATATCACATTAACACCCATTTTCATAATTTAAAAAAAAAAAAATTGTTTTGAATTTTTTTTTTCTGAATTATTTTTTCCGGCCGGTTAACGTCTGGTCTCTAGCGTTGATTTGTTTTTTATGTTTTTTGAAATTTTTTTTTTCTCTCTAAATTAATGTGTTAACAACAAAATTATTGTTTGAGATAGTTGTTAGAATTTATTTCGTGCAGATATAAATTATTTGTGTCAGATTCAGTTTTTCGTTACTGTTGCGTTAAGTGTTGCAACAGTTCGTGAAGCAGTTCGTAAAAACAGAAATAAACGAGACACACATTTTAATGTGGTTCGGATACAATTGTACCCTACATCCACGGGGACCTGCAAATAAAATTTACTAATTTTTAGTTTTACGAATACAATAATAGGACTTAATCGAAATACAAAGACTCCCTCTTTGTCGACGCCGTTCTTGTATACTACGCTGAATTATAAATCTTCAATTTGCAGCACGTCCCTTGCTCCGCACGGTTGAACTCCCTTCAACGTTGAATCCCTCAGTCGGCGGATCGATCTCCTCCCGAGATCTGTTTAAGCCCCTCTCCCGAAGAACCGATCTTCTTTTTGTATAGAAGAAGCAAACTTGTGATACTCCTTGAATCTTGGTGTCTTCAACACAAAGCCTTGAAGCCGGTATATTTTCTATGAAAATCACGTATCACGATGGAACAATAAAAACGAGAGCCAAGAATATTTTTTGTGAAAAACTTCTCTCGATCAAAGACGTTCCGGGAGCAGCAAAGAAAAGAGAAATCTTTTTCTCTCAAAATCAAGGCACCAGCCGTATTATGTTCCTACTTCTTCTTTTATAGTATAGGAAAACTCCTGTATTAGGTTTTACAAAGTTAGAGACGTATAAGAGTCCATACCTTATTAAAAGATATTGAATAAGAGTCCATGCCTTATTAAAATATTGTCATCCTAATCTAATGGGAATTCCCATGTAAACAAACAACCAATTAATGACAATAAAATATAAAAGATAATTATGGAAATCTTTTCTCTTTCTTGAAAAATCATACGCACAAGAGTCAAGAACTATTGGATAGTCTTGCACAAAAACTCTTTTTAATTAATAAAATATTTTCCTATATAAAAGAAACAATTAATGACAAATTAAAGAATTTAAGTAAACAAGGAGACTTCCCTTTTGTGTTTCACGGTACGTAGGACTTGTTGCACAAGTCTTTACTCATCCCTTGTTTATTAGAATCTAATTAGATTCTAACAATCTCCCCCTTTGTCATTTATTGATTCTAACATTTTCTCCCCCTGAGTAAATTGCCTGAAAATGAAACAATAGAGGATATAAGGAAACAATAAAACTAAAGATCATCCTCAGCATCAAATGAACAGCTCATCATCATAATCTCTTTCAGCAACAAGAGTGGCATGAACTGCTGCAATAGTAAGTGTCACAGTTTCAACAACTGTTCCCACAGTAGTGGCTTCGGCAGGTGGTTCACAACGGAGTCAGCTCCCCCTGCATGTGTATCTCCCCCTGTGAATGAACCTTAGGCAGCTCCCCTTGTAAGTGACTTCATTCTTCCCCTTTGCTTACTTGGCTTTGTAGACTTGGAGGGCGACGTGGTAAATCACCCACGTGATAAAAGACTCAGCAAATAACGTCGGCATTATAGCTCCTCCTTTTATACTCTTGTGAAGACCTAAACCAATTAATGACAATAAACATCTCCATAGAATTCCAATTGGTGTTGTGGACTTAGAATCCCACCGAGATTCTAACACTCTCCCCCTTTGGCATTGATTGGTCAGAACATTTACTCCCCCTAAATATATGATACATGCATGAACAAGGGTCAGCAAATTCAAAATAACATATGCAAATATAAACAGTTGCAACAGTTTATCAAATAGTTCAGCAGATAGTGTACAGTTGTTCAATTAAGCAAAAACAACAACAAAAAATATGCAGTAGCAGAATCAACTTCCCTTTACAATGAATTCCTTCTTATTTGTCCTGTATTTCTGCACAATTCCAACAACTGTATGATGCATTATCTCAACAGTTGTCTGAACTCCCCCTGCATTCCTGCACTGTTCCAGCAACTGTCTGATGCACTGTCGCAACAGTTGTCGAAACTCTCCCTGTGTTCATGCCATCGTTACTGTTCTTTTCTCCCCCTTTCTGGGCAATCACCATGCATAGACAACTCAACATGGTGCACGTAGATGTTCAAACACTTAACAAAAAGATCTTGATGATTCGAGCAAGCTGTTCAAACACTTAACAAAAAGATCAAACGTAGAGAGAATTTTGAAAGTAAGTAAGAAGAATCACCATACATGACGTGCACACAAAATCACAAACTCATAAACTCAATACCACACGATAATTGCAATTCGAAAATCAAAGGATAATGATATCAAATCCAACATTAAATAACAAAGACTACTGAGTTTGCCAAACTTCATATGAGACGTGGAAATGCGAGGAGTAAAATCAATAGATCCGGCTGCAACAAAAATCAAATTTAACCGGCACATAAACAAAAATCCCGTCTCTCTCTCTCTCTTTTTTTTTTTTTTTTTTTTTTTAATAATGCCTAATGCAAGACAAGAAGTAAACATGAGAAATAAGCATGAGTGAAGAGACAGATGTGAATAGGATACTGCATGGACAAACAAAACATATGGGATTTATCTTCACATTCACGATAAGCGCAATCCCCAAAAATCCGACTGCCAATGCAACCAATAAACTTAATAATCCCAAGTCAAACACAAAGATGCTCTTATTAGGTAGCGTACACACACGTCTAATGGTAGCTTTTTCTCATGAAAAATAGAGCAATTAAAAGGAACGAGATTATGGTGGTCGTGCAATGTGTAGTCCCCTGGGCTTTCTAATTGAGCCTTGTAGTGAGTGTTCGGTCAAGTGGTTTACTGGCTCGACTCAACTAGGCTTGGAACTATTCACTGACCATATGTATAATTTATAATGGCCGTGCAATGTGTAGTCCCTTGGGCTTTCTAATTGAGCTTTGTAGCGAGCTTTCGGCCACGTGATTTACTGGCTCGACTCAAAAAGGCTTCGAACTATTCACTGACCAAATGGTTGTAGATATATATATATATATATTAGTGACAGTAGTTCAAGAGTAGCTTTCACTCATTAAAAGAGGCAGCTTTTCCCTATAAAAACATCCAACCATGACAAGACTATTCAGAGAAATAAATAAGTTGGAGCCTTTTAAGTAATCATTTTGGGAATTGGTGAAGTTCTACCCCCACAAAATTTAGAAATACACGAAGTATCAAATTCACATTTGTCTCAATCATATGCAGTATGCTTAATGCAGGTCCTATATGAGATGCAAAAACATATGAAGTGTCCTACCACTAAAAGTTGCAAGTCTGGACACACAGACTGTTGCAACAGTTCATGCAACTGCATCAGATTAAACAACATAAATTCCCAGCGATTTTCGCAAGGAATCAAATTTCTGTGCATCAAGGGTTTTTGCAAAAGCATCAGTTAATTCATTCTCCGTTGCAACATAATCAATTGAGACAACCCCCTTTTCGACCAAGCCCCTTATGAAAAGATGACAAATATCAGTAAGCTTAGTTCTCGAATGCTGAATTGGATTCATAAACTTATTTTTCGCATACAAATTATCACAATTCAGATTACCAAGTTTTTTATACCCCAAGCTAGCTTTTTCACCAGAACAGTTGGAACAGTTAGTACTATCATTACATGAGTTTAAAGAAGTAATGGCAGATAAACAATTAAGATCAGACTTCTTTACCCAGAATTTTTGTTGAGATTTATTCACTAAATCAACCTTTATCTTGGGTTTTTGAGACGACACAAAAGTGTGATCAATTTTAGCGGAAAGTGGTGAGCGGGCCATTATTGTTTTAACCATTTTCAAGTACTTAAAACACCTGGGTCGTATATGACCAGGAACATGACAAAAATGACAGGTAGGGACAAAACGTTTTCTTTGAGATGACTGTGTTGATGCAACTGTCGCAACAGTTTGTGAAACAATGGATTGTTTAACAAAATTGATTTTTCTTTTTGAATCTTCTTTCTGTTTCAATGCATCATTAGATAGCTGATTACCCCCTATACCTATACGACAGTAGTTCAGCTGATTTTTGTTCAAAATTTCATTCAAGGTTACTCTACCAGTATTAAACTTAGAAATAACATCTTGGGTTTGAGCAAATTTAGCCTTCAAGCTATCTATTTCTCTACTAGAAGAAATAACATTTTGTTCAAGAGTAGAAATTCTTAC